AAAAGTTAAAAACTCCAAATCTCCTCTTCTCTCCCACCAGATCCCCTAGGATCTGCATGTTTGAAGCTCCCTGGTACAGGTCAGGCCAGGGCAGCAGCCACTCACAGGACCAGAGAAGGAAATTGGCCAGCACCCCTCCAAGTCCAAAGGCACACTCCTGTCCCTACCAACATGCTGTGTCCACACAGTGCCTTGCCAGATGGGATCTCCGCCCATATAACTCACATGGCCGCTGGCCACTAGTGCCTGATATTTGTTATAATAAAAGAAAAAGCCTGCTAAGTATTGTTGCAGCTCCTCATTGAGAACAAGTCCTCCATGAAACAGCAGAAGGAATCTCTACCATGCAGTGGTGTGAAGTGTCCCCGGGTCAGGATATGAAAAGCTTATGCTTAGGTGAGAGACAAGGACAAGCACTGTGTAAAACCTGGACCCTATTTAAGACCTAAATGGGCCTGTGGAGGAGCCAGGACTGGGTGGGAAGAAGACAGTGGAACCCAACTCCATACCCTCCTATATGTCTTATTTTTTTTAATGTGAGTCCAAGAAGAAAGACTGTTTAAAAAGACCTCAATGAAGCTGTAAAGATCTTCCTGATGAGAAAGTTCTGGTTTTCTAAGACCTCAGGTAAGGGAGGAAGCCTGGCACGATGGTCCAAGCGGGTAAGGTGAGCCTGGAATCCTCTGGGAAGATTAGAGTGGGAAAGTCTCGGGGTTATGACCAGCACCCATACTAGAAGGCTTCAGTGTGAGAGTGATCCAGGGCTGCAGACACACCCTGGCAACCACTTCTGATAAGGGCCTAGAGATTTCTAGCAGGTACAGAGCATATCTACCTTTGTCCTGGAAGCCAAGCCATGACTGTGCCCCAGCTCAGGCACATGAGTGAAAGGAACCCAGCAATCTTTCAGATCAGCTTTGAGAAGTGTTACCAGAGACTTCTGTATCCCACCAGGCCAATAAACTTGCCTAGGGACCCTTTGGAAGGTGCTAGGCACTTCTGTGTCCAAGGGATCAAAACACTCAGAGAAAAATGTAACCAGCAAGTTCTTCTTATTGCCGTTGTTATTTTTCAAGAGTGAGTAAAAGCTACAGCCACAGCCACACATGGGAGAGAAGTGTCTCCTATTCCCGTTCCTCTGCCAGGAGGCTTCTCACTTTCCATACTGTGCTCCTCAGAATCCCTCACACTAGCTCACTCCTCCATGGGGGTGTCCTCAGGCAGCTCTGACCCTCTTTGGCTTCAAGAGAGCCACTCTGAATCTTGAGGGAGCTCACCTTCCTGCCCCTCATCCCCTTCATTTGTCTTCTCCACCAACTCTCCCCACCCTTGGTGCCTTCCCTCCAAGCTCTGTGCACTTTGGAAGATCCAACCCGGGTCTCTGGCATCCCCCATGGGATCCTCACCCTGGCCCTGGAGGAGGAGCAGCAGGAGCCCATAGGTCACGATGGTGAGCTGCACACCAAGTTGGTGAAGCCACATGGTCAGTTCCCAGGACTGTTTCTGCATCCACTGGGCTTCACAGGGCCCTGCATGGCAGGACCTCTGTCCAGGTGGAATTTGGACCTGGCAGGGAGGAGGCAGGGAAATGGGTGGTGCCCTGCAAGGTGTGTGCTGCAGGAGAGTCACTCTGAACTCTCAGAGGTCATGGAGCCAGTGGGCTTGTCCCCTTTGACACCTCCCAAGGTGCCACACAGCCTCTACAGCCCCTCTGAGATGCCAGGACCCCTCTCCTCACACCTGGAGTTGCCGAAGTCTGGCTTGGCACAAATCAGGAGCCACTTGTCAAAAAGAAACTAACTTTATTTTTAGAACTATAAACGCCAAACAAAACAGCTCCTCAGGGAAAAAACCCTCAGAGCCCAACTGCCACCACCGGCTTCCACAAGCCTCTCCTCCCACACCAGCCTCTCAACCTCCCACAATCCTCCTGCTCTTGAGGCCGATTGGCTGGGTCGCGTGGGCGGAGCCAAAGAAGTCCCCCAATGAGCAGCTCCGTGGAGGAGCCAATCAGCTAGATGTTGCTGGGGCCGCTGTGAGCCAATCATCAGCTGGCAGTCTGAAGGGCAGGGAAACAGCCCAATGAACATCACCGCAGAGGAGCCAATCAGCTAGATGTTGCTGGGGCCACTGTGAACCAATCATCAGCTGGCAGTCTGAAGCTTGCTGGCAGCTGGATCATCAGCCGGCAGCTGGAAGTTTGCTGGGGCCCCTTTGGCTGTGGCTCTCAACAGGAGTCACTAATTCCCTGTCCTTGCTGTCACCCTGTCCCATGAGGGTGTTGAGGAGTAGAGGAAGGAGCAGAGAGCTGGATGTAACTGGAGGAACCTGGAGGGCTTCTCTGGGGGGTGCAGAATGAAGATTTCCAGAGATGGATAAATACAGATGACCTTGCTGGAGTGAGGGGAACTGTTTGCACAGTGGCAGGGAGGTGTGACTGTGACCTTTATTGCTGACTGGGATCCCTTCAACAGTCCCTCATCTCAAGACTGTGTTCTCAGAGCCCCTGAGGGCCCCTCCCTAGTCAGTCTGGCCCTTCTTTTGGAAGGCACTTCTCTGTAGGTACCCCATTACCCAATAGCCAAGGTCAAGCTCACCTTTATTTATTCACTGGAAAGATGTGAAATTAGGGCTGGCTGATCCAGGGAACTCCTAGGTCTTAGGTGCCTCTAGGAGATTCTGAATTATCCTGAGCCCTGCGTGGGTGAATGGAAGCCAATCTGGGCTTAGAGAGCCCACAGCTTGATTTCCTAGAGGAAAACTCACAGCCCAGCACCATTTATGTTCCTTCTTAGCACCTTTGGGAACCAATAAGCATTTATTCGGATCTGAGTAGCCAGCATATTGATAGCACCATTTCCCCTTGACCTCCACCCAATCAGCAAGGCTGCTGTGGATTCAGTTTCCCTTTCAGGACACTCTGCTCCATGCCATCACCCTAGCTCCTGCCTGGGCAGATGCTTTCTCTGCCCTGATTTTCTTGATCTAATTCACAGCTGGGTTGTGAGGATCCTCCCACTCAGAGTCATGTTACAATCTTTTTTATGTCAACTGGATAACATAAGTGCTTCTTCCTAATTTAGAGCCTGCTGTCTACCACTGCTAGGGTGAAGGTCCTCATAAACTTTGCCACTTATTGCACAATCATTCAGAGGCTCCTGCATTGATGGTAGCCACAATAACAGTAAAAATGTGAAATTAAGAAAAGTCTCAGGTGCATATCTGTGTATGTGATTCTATCTTTTCTTTCTTTCTTTCTTTCTTTCTTCTATCTATCTATCTATCTAGATACAAAGAATTTCTTCTGCTAAACTTACCCTCTGTCTTCTAGTTCCATTCTCAAGAAAGACCTCAAGAAAGGTTGGGAGTTAAACCTCCTTGCAGTTGTGCAATTATTGATGTCAATATGGTCCTCAGAGTCTGCAGATCAAAAAATATAGGAGCAAACTTCACAAGTGAGGATCCTAAGGAACCCACCTGACTCCCTTCAACATCCCATTGCCAGCCAGAAGCCAGGAGCCAATGGTCATGCCCTGTCCTTCTTCTCACAAAAATGGGGCCAATCACATCTCTGAGACAGAAATAAATGTCAACAATAGATGACAATATAACAATATAGGGGGACAATAGGTAATGTCAGGGACCTTTATATTTTTAGTATTGGTAACCTTGGTGGCTGAAGTATGGGAACTTTTGTGCTATGGTTTGAAAGTTTTTTCCCCTCTTAGATTTATATGTTAAAGTCAAATCCCAAATGTGATGGTATTAGCAGGTGAATGCTTGAGAGGTGACATATGAGGTGGAGTTCTCAAGTTTAAGATTGATGCCCTCTATGCTTTGGATCATATTTGTCCCCTGCAAAGATTCATATGCTGGAAGGTCCAGAGTGGTGACAGGTAGTGTGTTGGGGGCCATGAATGAATTGTGAATTTGTTTGAGCCATCTCAAGGCAGGGTGTTGCTCTTCTGAGAACTCTTTGTGAAATCCCACCGATGTAAGACCACTCAGTTTATGCAGACACCCTGCCCATTGTCTCAGACAGCTCTAGGCTCAAAAGTAGCAGTCCAGAAGTAGAGGAGGTGGGCATAACCTGCTAAGCCCCAACCAAGTTGTTTTAGCCATCTGCATCCTGTTTTCCTTGAGAAGTTCTTCATACTGAATCCCATTGGTGTTCCTATCCATATAAATAAAGGGCTTGGGTTCCATTTTGTGGTTAGATCCAGTCTCCATCAGAGCTAGATCATCCCACCGTGCCACCTGCTTTTTATTTATTTCCATGTCTTGTCTTTATTTCTAAAATTTCTCATACCGTTAATATTTCTAATCTGACTCACCACCCTAGTTCAGGCAACTGAGTAAACACCATGCAGGTCATGACAGTGGCGGAATTTTTAAGGGATGAGGCCTATTGGAAGTAATTAGGTCATTGGGATCATTGCTTTAGGTAGAGATTAATAAATACAGTTCTTGTGAGTCCTACAGGTACAGATTTTTATACATCAAGGTCACCCCATATACTATCCCCTTCCACATTTAGCCATCTCCCTCCCCACTTCCCCCAAAATATTGTGAGGCTGAAGGGAGCCTTTGTGAGTGGCTGAAGAAATGGCAGCACCAAACTGGGACTTTTAAAACTGTGAGCCAAATGAAACTCTTATCTTTATATGTACTCACTTCAGGTATTTTATTATAGCAACAGGAGATAGGTTACTACAACACCATTATAAATTAAGCCTGTGAGAGTTTGTTTGTTTCTTTGTCACTTGAGGACACAGTGAAAAGGTGCCATTCAAGAGCCGTCATCATCAGATACCAAGTTATCTGGCACCTTGATCTTAAACTTCCCAGCCTCAGGAACTGTGAGCAATAAGCTTTTGTTGTATATAAGATACCCAAATTATACTTTCATAACATCAGCCCGAATAAATTAAGATACTGGCACATTTGGAGTGCAAGTGTTCTATTGGCCTCTTCCATGTAAGAAAACATGGGAGACATGCTGAGAAATGAAACTGGGCTTTTGATATCTAGGAGAGGGCAACATTCCCCTAGCACTCCTCTTGAAGTGGGGAGGGTATGAGAGTTGGGAGGAGAGGAGAGAGAGGGTTCAGGGAAGGAGAGATAAAGAAGCTGGGAAGGGACACAGGACCAGTGGGGTGTGCAAGAAGGTGGGCATCCACTGGGCTTACCCATCCACATCTTCCTTGGGGATTACTGAGTGTGTCTAACAAGAGAGGACCCACAGCAGCCTGGGCAATGAACATTGTGAGGTAAGTTATTTGTAGGTGTTGGCTCAATGGATGGATGAATGGCTACGTGAAATGAGGGGGTCAACACTGGCTCCTAGGTGGGCGTGTGTGGGTACCACAGGCAGACCTCACCTGCACTCCACCCACCCAGCCCTCCCTGACATGGAGCTACAGCTCTGAGCTTGTCGTCAGCCCCCTTAAGTTCCTGGATCTTCTGGGGCAGAGTCTTGGTCCAGAACTTCAACCTGTGGGCCTTCAGGGCCCTGAGCCCCCTGATTTTGGTCATGCCAGGCATCCAGGCATCCAGGCAGGCAGGAGGCATGGGCAATGGGGCGAGGTTTCCTAATTTAGGAGAGCAATGACTTTCTACTTGTAGACTTTCCACATGGGACGCAACCTAGCCTGTTTTGTCCTTCCCTGTCAGGGCTTCTGATGGAAGCTCTGCATTGTGGCCCACCCTCCTGGTCGTTGGAAAGGGACCAGGTAATGGCACACACAAGATGCCCTCTGTTAGAGTGGGTCTTTGGGTTGAAGCAAGGGGGCTAGGTTGTGATTAAGGACATGTGTGTTAATGAAGTCACCTCAAACAAAGGGAACACTGGATGAGTACAAGTCTCGAAGGAGGCTAAGATGGGTGGTGCATTCTTTCACTCATTTCCTGTAGTTTTGGCCCAGTGCTTCATCATCCTCCTACTCAGCAGCTCCTCTTCCTCAGTGAGCTCAACTCTCAACTATAGGGAAGAAGAAAGCAATAGTCCAAGTCTGACGAAGCCCATCCAGCTGTCCACTCCTGTGCCACACTCAGCACCCTAGCTGTAGCCTGTCCCTGGACCCCAGGCCTGTGTCCCTGCCCTACCCCAACAGTCCTGGAGCCAGGCCCTCTGCTTGCCCTTACTCATCTCAGCTTCTAGCCGAATCCACCTTGAGTTTGTCTTTGGCTCAGAAGCCTCCTTATTCCTTCTAAAACTGGGAAGTCATTTAAGAAAGCATTACTATGCCTTTTTTGAAAAAAAAAGAAACAATTATGACTCTAACCACCACGGTTAGGGTGGGGACAGATGGAAGGAAAACAGATTGAAGTGGTAAAGGGCTTAGATTCTAACTCTGTTACAAACTTTTGAGTTGTAAGATGGTAGACACCAGATCCCATCCTCTCTCTAAGCCACAGTTTCCTCGTCTGTACAATGAGATAAATTGCCACTCCTGCCCACTAGAATACCATCCTGGCTCCTAGGAAATAAAGAAGACACCTCTGCTGCCCTTGATGTAGGATCCAAAGACAAAGATATTTTTTTGCCATGGTTGGCCTTCATGTGAGGTGGCTTGATATCCTTGAAGAAATTGAACTAATGCTGGAACTCAAAGAAGTAGAGGATGGGAACTGGAGGGTTGACAGGATATGTGTGGGTGGCTCCTCATCTCATGTGGTGGCCCTCTCCTGCAGTACCCTTGGCAATAAGATACGTAGGTCCAAAGTTGGCTTGAATCTGGACAGTGGAATGAGGAGTCCCAGGCTGGAGCAGAGGCAGTAGGAAGGACCTTGGTTAAATCAGGTCTTGGACTTCTAGCTGTGTGGTCTTGGGAAAGTCACTAAGTGTTAATAACTCAGTTTTATCACCTGTAAAGTAAAGGAAATGGTTTCTTCTTACACTAGCCATGAGGATTTATTGAGATGAGGATCATCAGGTGCTTGGGACCAAGAACCTGATAAAGACATGTGTCAGGACCTGGATACCAGAACTCTTCTGAGACTCACAGCTCTGAACTGCCCCCTAGGCAGCCAGGATTCAGGTACAGATATACTCACAATGATAATGTACTATTTGGTGTTCAGAGATCATGAACAAGAAGTCCATTATCTTCTGTAATTGGACTTGGAGGGTGTGGAGGTCTTCATTGTCTCCCAGGTACTACTCCATCAACAGGTCATTGCATTTGGCAGGCGACATCTAGTCCAGGAGATCAGGGAGTGTTAGGTTAGGCAGGCTCAAGAACAGTGAGTCAGCAGTCTCAGGGTCCAGAGACGGGGCTTGCCATGGGACTGAGAATGGAGGAGAGGGCCAAATTTTGGGAAGACTTTATCCAAAAATATGTACATAGTTTAGCCTTTGTTCCTGGGGTTCCTACATAAACAGGAATGTAGAGGTGTTCCCTCCATTGGGTCAGGACCCCAGGAACCTCACCATCAGTGTTGAAGTACTCTAAGAGCCTACCTAGTCCCTCTGTTTCCATCTGGGTATCATCAGTGCCTATGATCTGGGAGGTGGAAGGAAAGTCTTAAATTTGGGGTAGGCTGGACGTGAGCCTTGAAATCCTGAGCTATACTTTACACACACACA